GACGTTTTGTACCTTCGACACTGTTCCTCAATGACAGTCTAAACATTTTACGTATGACGTTAACTAAATGGGTATATCGCCATCTATTGGAAACAACGACAACTTTCTGGTGTGTCCCATCGTCACCTCTTACACCCACGGGATTATCTTACAACGTCATCACACGGCTATGTTGACTATAATGTAATATCCTGCAATAAACTAAGCAATATTATATTAAGTTAGTAGGTTTTTCTTAGTTTCTTAGGCTGTTATTGAAAGAAAATAACCTGGAAATTAACTTCTGAGTATACTAGTAAACTTTAATTGCACCACTTTTACTCCTTTGTATATCAGATAAAATAATTATCATGTTTTGCGTATACAGTGGTATTAGTATAGCCGGTTGTAAAATATTATACAATTTATAAGTGATGACATGTAATGTTCTGTCTGGGACTCAAGTTTACCATTAGTTTTCTGTTTAGTCTATTAACTTATTTTCAGCTCTAAGTAGACTAAAATGTAACTACTTTTAAATTTGCATGACAATTATAAGTCAAACATGAGGACGTACCATTATGTTAACATCTTTGCACTACCATGTTTAAAGTGAAAAAAAATTTCTGATTTCTGATTTCTGAATTATATCAGCGTATTTTTCGTATTGTTTTTAAACTTTCATAAACTATATTCTCAGTTAATATGCTTACAACTGTTACATTTCAAAATAGTTTCTTAATTGTATATTTAATAATATGCTTGAGTCCTGATCATTAAAAAAAAAGTTAATATTCAATAAAGTAGTGTAGAAAGTATATTTTATCCCACTGCTATTAAACCACCTTGATTTGAAAGGGTTATCTTACTGCCATGTCTTATATGTGAATCTAAGTCGAAGTAAGATAATAAAATATAATTAAAACGTTTATTGGTGCCGGCGGGGATAGATCTCAGAATGCTCATGGACTTACGCGTGATATTTACGGCAAGTTTTAACAGAGCCACCACATTCACTAATCTACACAGACTTTCTAAAATTGTTGCCTTAAAAGGTCGAAACATTTCTTTAAATTAAATTGTATTTATTGCATAATTGTATAAAAATAGAACAAAGATTTCGCTTATTAAAAAAAGACGTATGCCAACGTAATTTCACCAGTTATATTAGAACATGTTACTTGAAGTGTATGTAACTATCCATAATTGCCTATTAGATAGCAAAGCGGCCAATTAATAGTCCATTAGATGCGAGGCCCCTTAATAGCAATTTTCGCCGGTAAAAAGGTTGTAAGCGCTTCATTATAACAGAGGCAAGCTTTTAAGAAATTACATACCTTCCTTAAAATAATTATGTCATAAAATGACAATTAAATAGGAATAAGTTTACAAAAGGGAGAGAGACTAATTTCCAAGTGCTAGTAAAGAAAAGAATTAAAAAAGAAAAGAACATTAGCATTAAAACTTTATTCATATTTTAGAGTACAAAGGGTGAGGCTTAAATTTGCTTTATTTTCTTTTTCATTACACAACTATAATACTGTTAATTAAAAAAAAAACATGTTTCAAATTAACTAGTTCAAGTATTTTTTGCCCTTAAGTTGGCATAGGATTTATTAAAGATAAATGAGTTAAAAAGAGAAAATAAAACCGTTGAGTTAAAACATTGAAGCCGAGTTAAATATCGATCGTATTTGATCAGTGTGACTTTATCACTTACATAAAAATTTCACATTTACTATTCTCTTCGGTAATGTACATGTACTTTATTTAGTTTAGTTTAAAAAAGAAATTTAAGATGTAGAACATAGAGAAGTATTCTAGATTCAGTTATTTTAAATGTGCGTAAGAGTTCTATTCATAAGTTTTAATTCAGTTGATTGAAAATGAGAGCCTGAATGTTGCGCTGCTATATGTAGCAGATTCACTTATATTATATCCTACGTAAACTTACTTACAATACAACGGTTACTTACAATTACTTTCAATTTTACGGCTTCGTGGCGCAGTAGCTTAGCAATGAGTTATAGCGCTAAGTGCCGGGGGTTCCAATCCTGCACGGAACAAGAATTTGTACGGTCTACAAGTCAAGTAATTGTTCCGGATCTGGATGTATGTCCTTGTGCAATTTATGTATGTAAACTGCCTTCACGATACAGGATAAAATCGTAGTGTAACGTTTAGGGGTAATGTTTTTAGAAGAAGAAAAAAACTCTTGAAAATAGATCCATAAATTTTGATCTAAGACTACAATGTGTTATTTGTGAGCTGAATTTAAGCAAGAACTAACAATGAAGTCTTACTTATTTTGTCTTTTGTTATAGAGCCAAGATCAAAACATGGTATACAATTAAAGCCCAGACTTTTATGTCTTAAGGTAATACCTCGAAAATTTGGTGGTTTTTCTATGTAACGTATTTTTTTAAGTTTTATAGATTATAAACCAAAATTTTGGTCTATGATTTTTGACTATATAACCTTGGATTGCATAAAAGGAAAACACGATATCATGTAATTTTCCCGATAGAAAAAAATTGCAAAATAGGCTCTAATTATTTACATTTCTCCATGACACCACAATATTCTTACGAATAAGTTCATGGAATTATTTTTAAGGCATAGTAAATAATCATATATATGTTCTCATAAACCAGTTTTTTATCCATAACGAAGTTTTGTTAAAATACTCGTAAATAAAAATGTGCTTTGGCGCTTACTTAGTTTTTTTTCCCGAGCGCTTACTCGGTATGGCTATCTCATAATTGGTATCGGCATTACAGTCTGTAAGTCATAGACAGCGACAATTGTGTTGTCTATCTACCCTGGCTTTATCTATTTCTTTCTCTCTTCTGGACAATTCTTTTTTTTTCAAGTGATTTTCGTAAACTATAACAATCCTTTGTTTTCCTTCTTCGTCAGCGTTTTTATAACTTTTGCAGAGATCACACTGATCTTTCTTTAACGTATGGAAGGAAATAATGAAATCTTTATTAAAAATGCGGTTAAAAGTAGATGCAGAAGCAGATGGTAGGTTTTTTTTTATATAGAAGAGGGGGCAAACGAGCATGCGGCTCACCTGATGTTAAGTGACTACCGCCGCCCATGATCAACCGCAACACCAGGGGAATTGCAAGTGCGTTGCCGGCCTTTTAGAAAGGAGTAAGCTCTTTTCTTGAAGGTCCCTAGGTCGTATCGGTCCGGAAAAATCGCTGGTGGTAAACTATTCCACAGAGAGGTTGTACGCGGAAGAAAACTCCTCTTGAAACGTACAGTGGTGGACCGCCAAGCATCCAGATGGTGTGGATGGAATCGGGACGTTTGCCGCGTAGTGCGTTTACGAAATTTGGCGGCTGGGATTAATCCGAACAATTCCTCAGAGCACTCTCCATGGTATATGCGAAAGAAAATGCAAAGAGATGCAACATCTCTGCGCAGTGCCAGTGAATCGAGCCGATCGGAAAGCACTCGGTCGTCGACGATTCGAGCCGCTCTGCGCTGGATGCGGTCAAGTGGAAGGAGCTGGTACTGGGGAGCCCCAGCCCAGAGATGGGAACAGTATTCCATGTGCGGCCGAACCTGCGCCTTGTAAAGTTGCAGGCGGTGTGCCGGCATGAAATACTGTCCCACTCTGCTGAGCACGCCAAGCTTTTTTAGAGGCCAGTTTGGCCTCCTCTTCCAAGTGACCACGAAACTGCACGTCACTCGATATGTCGACGCCGAGGATTCCGATACTAGCTGAGGCAACAAGGGGAATGCCTTGAAACTGAGGAGATACGACAAAGGGGTTTTTTTAGCGGTTAACGTGCAAACTTGTGCCTTCTGGGGGTTAAACTGGACTAGATTTAGTCGCCCCCAATCCGAGACTCTGATCAGCAAATACTCGACTTCAGACACAAAATTGTCCCGACACTCGGAGACGTTTTCCCGAGAAACATTGGCTCGGCCGGTGTAAAGAGCATCACCAGTGCAGTCATCTGCGTAGCAATGAATGTTACGGGTTTGCAACATATCATTGATATGCAGAAGAAACTGCGTTGGCGATAGCACGCAGCGTTAATAGGCTTGCAATCGGAGCTTGCACCGTCTACAACGACCTTAATGCCCCGATCTGCAAGAAAGCTGGTGATCCAATCGCACAATTTCTCGGGAAGCCCATAGGAAGGGAGCTTCGAAAGAAGCGCTTCGAAAGAAGCGAAAGAAGGTTCTCTTTTGTACGATTTTCTTTGTAGTCACGGTATAAGTCGGCTAAAGATTTATCACACTGAATGTACTCCCGTGATGTCTGGGCTCTAAGATAATGTGATTCGATCCGTGGTACGGTATTAATAAATTGTTTGACACTATCATAGACTTCAGGTTCCATAGTGCATTGGTTACCATGTTTCCCTCGCATATCTTCCAATACAAAACCAGTCTCTGTTTTTTTTGATACTGCTGTAGCAATTGGTCTGTCGTTTATTGCGAGTGTATTTTTAAAAAATGTTTTGCAGACTCTGATATAATTATGGTTTAGCTGGAAATGAAATGCGATATTTAATTTACGTAAATTTTGAGTGCATGAGTATCTGTGTTTTGGTTTAATGTCCGTAGTATGTCTAATTATAAATTCTCTTTGTTTTTGTAAATCTCCCAAACTCCAATAATTCTTGAAAATGTTCTGTCTTTTAATGTCTCATTTAAGTTTGAACCACAATTTAACCTGCATTTTTCGCCACATGTCGGTCTCATCTTCCTTGCAGGTACCGGTTTGTTAGTCGCTGATTGGTATGCTTTACTAGTATCGCGAAGTGGTTTAGCTATTTTACTTTTCCAATTTAATACACTACGTACCCTCTTTTTGCCTTTTCTGTTGTCCTGCACTTGGAGACACACACACACTGAGGGAAAGGGGGATTTAGGTTTATGGAAGAAATACTTGAAAAAGGGGGTCACAGTCGAAATCATCAAAATCACTCTCATTAGAGTACAGGGGTGAAATGTAATATTTCGTTTCGTTGGATTGGGTCATTGATTCAACATAACTAGACGTACTGAGTGTTGTTGTTCACGTTAATTTCTTGAAGAACTGGATTAATTATTGTAGAAGGTGAAGTTATCGAGGACGCCGTTTGTTCTTTCGCAGCTTCGTTGTCATCATTATGAGACCATTTTTTGTTTGCACTCACCGGTTTCAATGATGAAAGTTCATCGTTTTCCTTCCTCTGGTGATTTTTTGACTTTGTTTTTGTCACCATATCCACAAGCAATTGCCCACGGTGCATACTTATTCTACAAATAAAAACAATTTTTTATTGAGTAAGTCACCTTATACGACTATATTGTATGTCAACAAGAATGTAATAACTCTAAATAATTAGAAAAATAGTTAATAAGAATATTGTTATTTTTACTTTAACATGTTTGAATGCGTAACTATAAATGCTGTGATTAAAAAATAAGTATTTGTTTAAATGTTAACAAATTATCACAAGAAACAAGGTAATGAAAATTCTTCAACAAAACTGTATTAAGTCCAAAATTACTTACTAAACCAACAAGAATGTAAGTAAAAATATTATTTTAAATCTCATTTTTGTGAATCAATAATAGTGTAACAACTAGAAATGCACCATATTTATCTTTAGGTTTAAATCAACTATAATGTATTAACTGGAATTAAATGGTTTAACTTTTACATACCTGTTCAGCAATAACGTTCCAATTCGAATTAATACGGTCTAAAACACAATGTGGCACACCCTTCTTAGCCGAGTTTCGATCGTAACTAAAGATGATACAATATTGGGTGGGGGTTTACAACAGTCGGTCAATCATAAACAATGACAAATGGAGCCATCTCTTATTTGTTTATTGCACTATTCTAACGACGGTATTATTGACGCGTAGGCAACTGAATTTTGCGTTTGAATATGATGTTATCACAAATTGAACATACTTTGAGTTACAGCAGTATTGTACTATTAGTGCGATAAATAAAAATAAAATACACATGTTATGAAATAGCGATCGAAGAATTAAAGGAAAACCGATTGCACTAAATTGAGCCATTCTAATATCCCCATCCAACATATTTTTCGTGTCAATAGTCTACTTCAGGTGGGAAGAAGGGAAAAAAGAAAACTAGGTAGTTATGGCGAGGCAGACGCGTTGGGCGCAAAAAGAATGTGCCCTATCATCACTGCAACGTCGCGTCGAAACGTTGAGAGGTGCTTAGTAACTAGAGAGTGGAAAAGTGTTCAGACATCAAATTTTGAATATTTTATTCTCTTTTTTTTTTAAATTTTTTGTGAATATATGCTTTAAATTATTACACTAAACGCAAATTACCTTTATATATTTTGATTTTTTAAATATTTATTTGATTTTATTACACTAGGGAGCGCATATTTGCTTTATATCTAAATATGTTATCCTGTTGAAAAACAGGTTAAACAGCACGATTTCGCATTATAAATTATATTTATTGCAGAGTTCTAATCAGGGACCTGAAGATATTGGATTGACAAATAATCCAACGTTTACCTGGTTTGCTGTTTTCGTAATCCCGAAACCGCAGCTAGCGCACTGCCGAACGGTGGTACAAATTGATATTATCAGAACTGAAGCTTTCAGCAACCCGCTGCTAGATGGCTCTCATAGTCGTAAGTGACGAGAATGATTTGCTTTTAGTTTGTCATATTTGTTTAAAAATATTTAAGATTTTTGTTTTCTTATTATTAATGTGTTATAGAAATATTTAATTATTTAATTTTTAAATAGTTAGAAATGGTCTTTGAATTAAAAATATCCGGATGTGAGTAATGGTGCTTGATCGTAACTCACACTTTTGAAAAACGAAAGATGTAAAAATATTATCCAAAACAACAAAATATTCATTTGTATGTCTGGCTAAGTGACCTATGACAAAAAACATTCATTCATAAAGAAAAGAAAAGAAGCAATTAAAAACAAGGTCCTAAATTAGATACAATTTTTTTAGAGTTTACAATATTGTTAGCAAACCTGACTATTTACACACACACACACACACACACACACACACACACACACACACACACACACAGCGCACGCACGCACGCACGCACGCACGCACGCACGCACGCACGCACGCACGCACGCACGCCGCACGCACACGACGCACGCACGCAAGCACGCACGCACGCACGCACGCACGCACGCACGTACGCACGCACGCATGCTCGCACGCTCGCACGCACGCACGCACGCACGCACGCACACGCACGCACGACACACACCACACACACACACACACACACACACACATATATATATATATATTATATATATATATATATATATATATATATATATATATATATGACTGTTGTTAGTCATGGGTAAAATGCTTGAGAAAATGATCGGCTAGGCAGTATGGTTTAGGGTTTAGTCCCACAACGCAATACCGAGGATACTCTGTATGACATTTTATAACACATGCGATGAAAACTAAAAAAAGCTCGTAAATGTAGGAGTTTCGCTCGACATAGAAAGAACGTACTATTAGATCCACTGTTTGACGAAGATGAGTTGGAGAAACATGGGGTATATAGTCAAGCGTTTGCTGACGATATTGTCCTGATATTCTCTGGAGAAACTAGCTCAATACAAGAACGCGCTGGCCTATGGATGTGAATGGGAAGTCAGAAATATACTCAAATTCGCATCAAATAAATCAAACGCCATTATTATAACTAAGAAGCTTAAGTATGGGATTCCACATATACAAATGGGATTAGCCTCATTTCGTAAATAAAATGACAGATACGGTTGGATAGTAATGAGAAATGGAAAAAAACTCTACAAAACTACGAATCTTAGTACAGGTACTTTGGTGCGGCGGTAAGGTCCCGGGTTCGATTCCGGGCACATCGACCCCGAAAATTTTTATGCGAGATTAACGATAGGTGCTATATATAGATTAAACCAAAAGGTGGACTGTATATTATGCGTAGTTGTTTTTAACTAAAACAACATGACTGATGTAGTACGTGGCAGGTTTTGGCCAATGCACTTGTTATGACCTAATTTACCGTATCTAGCCGATACCTTTACACGGGATCTAAACTTGAGCTGCTAGTAAAAAAGACACATCAGAGGACAAACAATAAAACAGCTCATTAAATTCTAAATGGGAAAGCACTTACCGGTTCGGGTCCTCTGGCTGTCCCTGATCTCAGATCTCGAGGCCACTGACACTGCTTTACAAGAGAGTGAGCGGTGGCGGTGGACATCCCTTTATCTTCTCGGCCGTCACAAAAAATGTGAGGGTGTTCGTTTTCCGCGCAACCATACTTACCAGTCACGGTAGGTTCTATCTTTATAGCTTCAAATGTAAAAATTTCCCAGAATGTGTTTGTAGTGTCCGAAATACTTAGAAGAAAGATTAAAGTTAGAAATGGGTACAAATATGCAACTAAGACAACAAAATATTAGTAAATTGTTGAAATGTAAGAAGCATAGAAATAGGTTTATAACATACTGTATAAATACAGGAAAAGATATAATAAATAAAAATAAGACTAAGTAAAAAGTACATGCTTGCCGTGTAGTGGCGGTTGAGAATATCCACTACCCCATATCTTCCCGTGGGTGCCGTAAGAGGTGACAGAGGAAGACAGGCAGGAGATGGGCAGCAGCATCTTCCTAAAAAACAATAATAATAAAAAACCGTTTCCAACCCGCTCGCCAAGCGTGGCAACTATGGCAAATATCCCTCCCGTGAGTAACGACGCAAACAAACGGTCCCCAGGTAGAGGGGGGGGTTAGATCTCGTGCCCGGCAACTTATAACGCACGCACCCTGAGGACTGACGAGAAGATACTGGAGTTGGAAGAAGAGGTAGACAAGTTGCGCTGGCATGGTCCGAGGTCCGAAGAGAGGGGGGGGACACGGTAATCCTCGAGTCCGGCAACTTGTTCTATCACCGCGAGGGCGACCATCCGTCCCAAGGAGATGTCGGATTTATCATCCACAAGTCTCTTGTCAACAACGTTGTAAAGATTGGGAGTGTGTCGACGATGGTCACGTACCTGATACTCAGAATCACCGAACGGTATTCGCTGAAGGTCATAAAGGTTTACGCACCAACCTCGGCACATCCCGATGAGGAGGTGGAGGAAATGTATGAGGATATTTCTAGAGCCATGCATGCAAAACCCACTACACGGTGTTGATGGGAGATTTCAATGCAAATCTAGACACAAGAGAAAGCGGTGAGCTGAAGTTAGGGAAATTTGGAGTAGGGCAACAGAACCGTAGGGGCCAGCAGCTGGCCGACTTTATGGAGAAAGAAGGACTCTTTATGATGAACTCTTTCTTCCAGAAGCAGCCCAACAGGAAGTGGACCTGGTCGAGCCCGGACGGTTTGACAAAAAATGAGATTGACTTCATTATGACGACCAGACGCCAACTGTTCAGTGATCTCAGTGATCGCAAGGGTGAAAACTGGCAGCGATCACCGAATGGTTAGAGGCACACTGAACCTAAACGTTAAGTTGGAGAGGTCTCGTCTAATGAAGTCAACGCTACGTCCCCCTCGTGCTCTAATCCAGAATCCCGAAACCTTCGATACGAATCGAACGATCGAGTTACGTTACCACTTTCAGTGCCTAGAAGATTGGAATGCAGTGGACGATATGAATGACAAGCTCGTGGAAACTGTCCTTAGGTCGGAGCTAAGTTCTGCAAGACCCGCCGCAGAAGAACACAAAAACTCTCCGATCACACTTTTAATCTCATGGATGTTAGACGGGAGATGAGGCTGCAATCGTCAACAGATTTGACAGCATATAAGCAACTGAACAGACAGATCTCCAAATGCATGCGGCGAGACTTACGCAAATTTAATAATGCTCGTATTGAAGAAGCGATTGAACGGAACCAGGGCTCCAAAGTCTTTGCCAGAGATCTGTCTGCCAGTAAGAGCCAACTGTCAAAGCTGAAGACTGAGTGTGGCAGCATCGTTTACAGAGACACCTGAGATTCTGAGTGAGATTGAGAGGTTCTATGGGCAGCTGTACACATAATTGATGGAGCCACAGGTAAATGTGAGTAACGATCCAAGAGAGATTCACGGACGTATCTGAGCGAGATGCTGGAGAGGCTCTCGACCTTTAAAATGGCAAGGTCCCTGGCGAGAATGGAATTACAGCGGAGCTTCTGAAAGCGGGTAAAAAACCGGTACTTGAAGTCCTTCAGAGGCTTAATTTGTAGG